TGACGAAAAGACTATGTATCTTGATAATGTAATTTTTACATTTGCAAAATAATTTTTAAAATGGGTTTAGTGATTAGGCGTGAAGTGTAACAAACAACAAACTCACTTTTACACTACACAAAATAAGTATGGATTATCTATCAATTAGTAAATTGATCATTGGAGACCGGATGGCGTAGTGGTTTGTGTAAGGGACTACTATTCCAAATTTCGTTCGATTCCCGCTCAAGTCAAACATTTGTGTACATGAACATTTAATGTTTGATTTGGTCTGGGTGTTTCTATGTATAATAAGTATGTATTTACAAAAAAAAGTATATATGAATTTATATCAGTTGTCTAGTAGCCATAGTACAAGCTCTGCTTAGTTTGGGACTAGATGGCGTTGTGTGAATGTGGTAGAATATTTAAATATTTATTTATTTAAATCATTTAAACAGTCAGTCACATTGTAATCCATACTTAAATTCTTTCACCAAAGTAAAGCTACTTTTTCAGCGAGTAACATAGGCTACTTTTACAGCGATAACCCACATAAGACAGTCATCATCATCATCATCAGCCTATCGCAGTCCACTGCTCGACATAGGCTCTCCCATTGCACGCCACTTAGATCGATTTTGGACTTCTCGCATCCAGCTCCTGCCAGCCATCTTGCACAAATCGTCACTCCACCTGGCCTGTGGGCGTTCTGCACTACGTTTACCGAGACGCGGTCTCCACTCAAGAACTCGTTTTCCCCAACGGTTGTCGGTTCTGCGGCTAATATGGCCAGCCCACTGCCACTTCAGCTTGCTGATCCGGTAGGCTATGTCGTTGACCTTGGTTCTCTGCCGGATCACCTCATTTCTGATGCGATCTCTTAGAGAAACGTTTCTCATAAGATAGTAACAAATATAAATAGGTAACAATTAAACGTCGTGTCGGTTACCCTCACATAATTTGTTCTGTTATTTTTTTTTCTTCTTTTAAAAGACAACTCCTGCATTAGGAATATATTACCTGTGTCGCGTGGGACTTTACAAACATACATGAAACGGACACAAAGAACACGCAGACTCATAACAACAATTTGTGGATCACACAAAGTGTTTTCCCATGTGGAGATCGAACCCACAACACAGTAGAAAGTGCATCCGTGTAGCCATTGTGTGGTAAGTGAAGAGTATGGTTGACTGTTGTCATTTTATTCCTAAAGTCTGAGACTAGAACAACCACTTAACTGTATCATTTATTATAAGTAGTCAACAATTATATAGTAATAACCTGATATAAAAAAAATTCCTTGGTTATTGATGGGATATTTACAGGCGCAGTAGCTATTTTAGCAAGAACAAGGAATACAATCAGCAAAAAAAAAACTATTGAAAAATGTTCATCAAATGTCAAAAACTAGACACGTTTTGCTTTAAGAATTTATACCTATACCTTCCTACATACGTATGTGCTTCAATTTATTTAATATCGATAATACTTCAAGTATTCATCATGCTTTACTCGCCGTATTTGCAACAATTTAAGGCACATAAAATGTTTCTACTTATATTTTATGTACGACCGCTCAGCTTTCAACGAGAGTGCCATAAAATATACCAAAAGATAAATGTATGATGCACACATACTCGTAACGAACGTTTGCAACCCTTCTGTAAGTTTAATACGGCCAGTTAACGTTTAAGCCCAACACGTGTATAGTACACGTTACATCAAAAGGGCGTTCGTGAACCCTGCGAGGAATGTAAGTGAAACTCACAGACAAATGAAAGAAAACTGCTAAAAGTGAAATGTTAGACACGTACGTTTGACAAATTTAACTTCTTCGACGAAATTTCATAATTTCTTGTCGGTAATAGATTAACGTGTTTAAAACTTTGGTTTGTACTGTAGATGTTAAAAGTGAGGATTAACTAAAAACATTGCAAAAAATTATGCTTTGATAGTTCCACTGGTTCCACACGCTGATGTTAATCTGAATCTAGACTGTAATTAACTATACAAAAAGACAAAAATATAGAAAGGAAAGATTATCAAAAGTCGTATTTTTTCGCCGTTAAACCGCAGACTAGAAAAACGTAGTACCTCAATCAATACCAAAAGCTTTAAGCGTCTGACTCCTTCGTACTTATTATGGGATAACAGAAGAAACAATAAACAGAATTAAAAATTAAATGAAAACTAAACACTTAAGATGGTTATAAGGTATAAAACAACATTTTCATCTCAACGAAACCTTGTTGAAATTTTTATAAGGTTTCATTGCAACACTAATAATGTATGTATGTGGAACTGAACTCGCGTATAGTACTTATATACGTATTTTTTAACACTAAATGATATCTTCATTCTTCATAACAATGTGTACATTGCAAAAAGATTAAGGTATTTTAAGTCAACCGCCTTCCTGATGTCAACCCTCCTTGTAATTGTAATCACTGTAAAGATAATTCTTGACAACGATTACGATTACATTTGCAAGGAAGTTTGTTACTAAAGGAAAGAGATAAATCGAGAGAGGTCAGGCATAGGGACAGGGCGAGGGAGAAAGATAAAGAATACCACAAATCTCGAATGGGACTGAAACTGCATTAGCGCTACGAGATTCAGGTCGTGTAGGACAGCGACGTTAACTGAATCTGTAAAAAATTTAAGCGCTGAGTTTGCCAGAAGGAAACAGAGAGAAAACCAGTGATAATACATTCTTTGGTAGATCTTAACAAATAAATAAACACTCTGAAAACTGTGACGCTCTCAGTTGAAGTGTTAACTTTTGACTTTCAGCGAACAAGTACGAGTCTCTGGGGTGAGTGGATGGGTGTGATGCATGGCGATGAGATGGAATATGTTTTCGGACACCCGTTGAACATGTCGCTCCAGTACCACACCAGGGAACGTGATCTTGCTGCACATATTATGCAGTCGTTCACCAGATTTGCGCTCACCGGGTAAGACAGATAAAGACAAATATTATTTATACATCTTGTTAAGCATAAACCTATTTGATATTTTCCAATACCACATACCAAAACTATTGGTTCTTCTTTTTTAGTCATATTTGTTATATGTTCCAAAAGTCTACATCTTTTTAATATCAAATAAGAATAATTTCTTTTTATGTCATTTTACTGGTAATTAATTACAGCTAAACTATTACCACTTGTGAAGAACAAGTAATGGTAAAATAGTATGGTATTCAAATAAAATGAATCACCTAATAAGTTGGGTATAAATTATTTCTTTTGAAATTTCAGTTATATTGTTTTTGATTTTAGTTAATGTTTTTTTTTTTTTTAATTAAATTATTGGTATTTTAATGTTGTATATCATGTACTTAAAATGAAAATTAAACTAGAGCAAATACATTTCCAAAAATATAAGTTGTGACTAGTTAATTAACGTAGAATGGCACCTACTCGTGTAGTTAGTAAAGTTGTAATTTTTTTAAGGCGTTATCCACATATTTTGTAGTTACATATTAAAAAAACAAAAAAATGAAGTAGCACAAAATAGAATAAAACGACTTAAAAAAAACATAATTATTTAGAATGCTCAATTTGAAATTTTATAAAATCTTGTTTCTGTAGATCAAAGCAGATTTTTGTGTCTAGAATGTTAATTAATGCCATTATTATACCAACATACATTCACAATACCAAGGCACCATGAACTTGGTGTTATCCATGACCATGGTTTTTCTATTCCAAAAACATTTCATTTCTCTCCTGTTATTCCATGGATATTTTTATTTGTAAATTATACTGTCAAAGGCTTTCAAATATTCATAGACATTCGAAAAATGAACTACGTCTATATTCAGGCCTTGATATTGATTTAAATTAGTGGACAGAAATTAGACAGAATTCAAAAAGACTTTCATTGACGTAAAACTTTAATATTCATTTTCAACTGTTTCTTTTTTTTAAAGACTAAAAAAGTAGCGACAGTATAGCTGGTTTCTTAATTTCAAGAAATGTAGAGTAAAGTGTTGTAAGATTGTTTTTAATAATTTAAACGACTGTAAAAATGTATTCGAAATCGACTGTAGAGACAGAATTATTAAATTCAATAGGGATACATACATATAAGACAAAAAATACCTTTAAAAAAGGCAGACAGTTGAAATGTTCACAGAAAATGCCGCTTTAACAGCAAGTAATAAAAATAAAATAGAATTAAAAATTAATGGGGACTGCCATACGAGAAACGCTACCGTTTATAGCGTCCGCGATGTATATGTACCGGAACAGTAGAAAGTTGTGTATTTCCAGAGCCGCTATGAGAACAAAAAATAATAAAACTAAATTATTTTTTAAAAGTCTTAAGTTAAATTTTAGTATCTTATTTTAAAAAAATTGATTGTGATGTCGCTGGCTGAATTTTGAAGTTCACTGTAACCTTTGAACCATACTTATTAGGTAAAAATCTAAAATTCACGAAATTGGTAGTAGAGTTACTATAATCTCTATAACAATGGGCAATAAACATTCAGTAAGGTTAAGGACGAGCCCTAAATGTGTTTATTATTGGTATAGTTCACACAATCTTCATTGTGTATTTCCCTATATTACTAAAAACTATGAACAATTTTTAATGCCGTATCTCTTAGTTATTTTACGAAAGTATTAAAATGGTACATAGTTTTGCATTCCGTAGAACCCTTCATGCAAGAGTCTCATTGACACTCTCCCGATTTTTTTAATATTATTTCCGTCGTTACAAAAAATCTACTAAAAGTACTTTAATAGTCAAAGCCATGTCCTTAAGATATGGTTAAGAATACGGAGTGTCACCATCCCATTTCATTCCCTGGGTGTCGTAAAAGCCAACTAAGGAAGCAAATTACGCAGTACAAGAGCACTGCAAAGAGAAAAAAAACTTGACACAAAACCCTATACCCTATAGATGGGTATCTGGCCAGCGTTGTATAGTGGTGCAAAACCTACTTTCTAAGGAAAGGCCTATGTCCAGCAGTGGACTATTAAAGGCTGTTGATGTGATGTGATGCGTTGTGAACCATGTCCTTATTACTAAAGCACCTTAACTTTTCCGTTAGGACTATTAATGATTTAACATTAATGTAAACATAATATTTGTTACGTGTATTACAGCAAACCGCACAAACCTGATGAGAAATGGCCGCTGTATTCCCGCTCCTCTCCTCATTATTACACCTATACCGCCGATGGAACAAGTGGCCCTGCTGGACCACGTGGCCCACGAGCTTCAGCTTGCGCCTTCTGGAACGATTTCCTCAACAAGCTCAACGGTCTGAAAGGCATAATTAACCCCTTTACCTTTTATAGTTTATAAGTTTATAGATTCCGGTAGTAGTAGCATTAAGTACTGGGTTATGACTGTGTTTTTTCTGTCAGGTTCCGTAGACTGAATCTTTAGGATAGGACATGTCCTTATGTGTCTTTATGTCCTTAAATATTCACTGGTTCTGAGCGTTAATTGTAACACTATATTTTAACAAAGACTCAATAATGGATGCATGACACATTAGTTAAAGTAATCGCCTTGCCACTAAGACGCACCACAATGTTTTTTTTGTGTTTCACAATGTCATTCTTTCTTTTTCTATTCTTCTTTAAAAGACAACTCCCGCACTACCAATGTGTCGCGGGGGACTTTGCGAACATACATGAAACGGACACAAATAATACCCAGACTCAGGATAACAATTTGTGGATCACACAAAGTGTTTTCCCGTGTGGAGATCGAACTCACAGCATTTGGCACAGTAGAAAGCGGCGAAGTGAACGGTTAAACCACTCATTTCATTCCTCCATGAGTCTTGGTTGTTCCGAGTTTGAGTTTTCTTCGTGTTCATTGTTTCAATGTCTGGAAGTCGTTCACGACACAGGTATCCATTTAACAGATTTTTTTTAAATAATACACTTTAATGCTTATAAAATAATAAAAGAAAAGCATGAATAAATAAGGTTTTATTTATAGTTACAATTTTTTTTTGACTTTTATTTTTATACAAAAAAAAGAGTTTATTCGTCTATTTTCTCAACGGAATACCTGTTTTTTTTTTTTATTAAATTAAAACAAATTAAAGCTACATGATAAGATTAAGTCAGTCAAGACACCTAATCCTTAATTGGCTTCTATTAGGGTTCAGCATTAAAAATGTATACGTTGTCATAATATATTTTTCAATTTCAGAATTGGAGCATATGCCATGCGATGGCGCAGTGACCGGGCCATACAGCAGTGTTGCCGGTACCACTCTGCCCATTCTCCTGCTGACAACGCTCGCAACAACCATCGCTCTGTAAACATCTGTGTCGAACTGCACATCAAATGCATATTAACGCATATATATGGAAAAGTAGATAAACTATTTAAAAAATAGAACAATAAAAGGCAAATAAATGTTTAACTTCTTGGTAATTATAAGTACATTATCAGCTGGATCGGCGATGAAAAAGAATTTGAGTAAGAAATTAAAAGTATTTTACAGAATTCGGAAGTTTTAGGCGGATCTACGATTATTGATGGCAAATAAAATTTTAATATTGGATACTAAAGACATGTTGATTGAGGTGATCATCATTTTTGAACTCCAACGATGACAGAATAGAATATTTGGAATGAACTTTTAAAAGTGATGGAACTGCGAATGGCAAAGGAACGTTACAACAGATATGAACTTTGAAAAGAATAAACTTTTTAATAAATTTTCAGTGTCGTTATAATATTGTAGAATGGTATGTTTGATGTTATAATTTAGTTTATGATGTTCCTGTAACTAGTTGTTTCGTGTGTTTGGTGTCTCATATGTTTAGTTAATGTGTATTTCATGTATTGTGAATGGAAAAATTATTGTCGGCGGATTATTGTAATACCTGTGCGTATTAGATATTATAATTAGGGAAAATGTTTATACGTCGGCTTTGATCGTTAAAGCGATGCTTTCACACACGACAGTTTGATAATATCACTATACATATCAAAGTGTGCCTCAGCTTAAATAGCAAACAAATATCTTTATCGTAGCAAATTTTACGATTTTATATTGATAATTGATTATAGAAGTCAAGTGTATACTGTGAGATGAATTTTTATCTATATATTTATTACTATTGTATGTAGGATGCTAATTATTCGTACCACTCGAGGATCTTATGAACTCTTATGACTTTGAACCGATAAATAATAGTATATTTTGTGAATATACCCTTCTTAAGTATAGATTGCGAATTTCTGAACGCTGCGTAGACTTATCTATGTACCTTCTAAATATTTATTATAGGCGAAGCACGGATCCCGTATCCACACAACTTGTATTATTCAATTGGATCACTGAACAATTTTAATAGTGTTTTTTTTTTAATAATCTAATTCAAAGTATTTGAAAACTAAACGTATCAAAATACGTTCGGAAATTCTACAGGAAATTTTTACGTCTAACAATAAAAGTAATTTCCGATACAGTACGTAATTCGTAGCTTAATAATGCTTTAAGTGAAAAAATATCTTATGAACTTAGTAACAATTTTTATACTTTTAACATAATATTTGTACTAAAGAAATATTAGCGGTAATAAATATTAATACCTATATGCGATCGTCAATTACTATCCTTGAACAAGCTCTAAGCGATAGGCTATTATAAAAGAAAGTGACCATACATAAAATCACAATGATTTCTTTTGTGCCATAATAATCTTTAGTTTAAAAGTATTATTTTTGTAACTTTTATAAAACACACTGTATAAAAATATACTTCATAGAAACTACCTTCCACAAGCACAACGTAGTATTATAATTTAAAATTCTCCCCACACATACATATCTTTCTTAAAGATTCTACAGGGCGTTCTCTTTTACCAAGATATAGAAAGTATATAAAACTGTCAAGAACTTGCACGACACTCGCTTTCTTGTTGAATAAGCACAATTTGAGAAGTTGTATGGGATAGCTTTAATTAGTTAACATAAGGTGTAAAGTGATCTAAATAAGAATTGTAATTTAAGTAGCCATTTGTAATATCGTTAAGATCAATTCTGTTTCAACCAAATCACTGTTTAGTAACAATTTATATAATAATCTGCTTCAACAGGTAGCTACTATAAACAATTATTATATTTCATAGAAATATAAATAGCACAATTTATAGTTAAAATCAATTCGTATTTCGTATGTGGAATTCATTGTAACACTCTCGTTACAGAACGTGGCAAAATCTGTATTTATATATGCTCATATTAGAATAAATAAAAACGATACATATCAATAATAATAATCAATTGAATTTAAGTGAATAGAAGTAAATATAAAACACGAGTATAATAATAACACAGAAATTTAACAAAACATATCAATAATAGAATAATTATTTATTGAAATTATAATGTAGGCGAGATATATTTAATGCCGTCTCACCAAATTTTATCATACTCACATAGCTTCAAGAGTAGCTCAGATATTATAGAAATATACAACTTTATATAAACACAATATATTGTACGATAAACACTATTTATAACTAATGTTATTTTCTGTCTACGGTTTATTTTAATAGGCCTAAACCATATTTCCTCTCTAAGTTATTTAATTTTAATATTTATTCCTTGTTATATATATCATGGACTACATATATAGTTTGTTAATACATTTGTTGACAAAACTACTCTTTAGCTGTAGTGTATAGCATAGATATAAGACTTAGATTTGATGTGATTGCCATTAGAACTTTGTGTAACTATATTACTGGATTCTTAATTTCCCTCTCAAGTGCAAGACGACTATGTAGGTAGAATTTTCAAACTGTATCGATGCAAGTAGCTACACCATATGCAAGTAATGATTAATCTGAGTATTTTGTATGAACAGTTCTTGAATGTGTAGCTAATTAGGGAATTCTACAATGATATTATTTGTTAGATAAAATAAATGTTTAATGTTATTTATGTAAAAGCTTATATCTGTTATGCAATCGGAAATAGTAGGTACTGCTTTACAAATTAGGTGCTAATTTAAATGTGTGTATACATGGGTGTGCACTTATTCATTTATTATTGATATCTATAATGCGGATGACGTCGACAATATATGTTTTATATTGTAAACTTCAGGTGGCGTGTATTCTTAGTGCTTCTGTAGGTGGAGAATCAGTGTTTTATACGTTAATTCCTTCAAATAAACCTTATTGTTGATTACCGTGTAGCTATCAAGGTTAGTTTAATTATCATAGAACTGTAATATCTTGCGTCGAAAATATATTAATTTTTTTATTAGAATTTATATATATATATATTGTATAATTCGTTTGTACAGTTGCACTAAAATTTATTTCGATATAGAGTAATTAAAACCTTTTTTTTCACAGTATTATTTATTGTCTTTATCCGAAAAATTACGCATTAAAATTTAATTGAAAATATGCATTTCATTTCAGTAAGAATTAGGAATTGATTTTTTCGTCATGCAATCTACAAAGTGACACAGTATCGAGTAAATGGTTTACAAAGTCAATATTAGCTGTATATCAGTTTTCTGATAGTGTTTTATATCGGAGAGAAGAGTACTTAAATACATTATGTTTCCTTACGCGCATTTCACTACTAGTTACTACATAAACAGAATAGGCGAAGAAATAATAATACATTTCCTTCATTGCCATTTTCTTTTCAGTTGCAAAACGTAAAGAAAACTATCACTTCAGAAAGAGTGAGCTTCGAGACAGACTTATAGTGTCAAACTTTTGTTAGAGGTTTGTGCCGCTTTACAAGGGTACTTTCCCATAGATTACCTTCATGCTGTAGCCTGGCAGATGTGAAACATCGAAATTATGTAATAGAAATAATGAGTATAAAAGGATAGCTTATGAATTGAAATAATAAGTATAGGACAATAAAAAAAATAACATTACCATATAATATCACAAAGCGTGTTGACTCATGCTGGTCTGGCTCTCCGTATTAGATAACATCAACAGCCTGTAATAGCCCACTGCTGGATATAGCGTACTACTTGCAAATATTGAATCAATAAATAACGACTAGATTACATAAGTAATAATTATAATAAACATAAAATGAAACTTTATCCTGTAAAAGACACGGCATACAACTTATGTTGAATAAATTAATGTTCTGTAATATAACAATATAGTACATGGCCTAGTACATGGCTAGACATAGGCCTCTCCTTAGGAAGGAGGTTTCGGCCCACTATACCACGCTAGCCAGACGGGTTGCTATAGGGTTTGTTTTAAGTATTCCTTCTCTTTGTAGTGCTGTTGTTCTGCGTAGTTTGCTCCCTCAGTCGGCTTTTACGACACCCTCCGGATGAATAGGACCACAGGGACACAATAGATGTTTGACATTAGATGATACTGCATTAGATGTTTGACATTTATAAATAAATTTCATTATTTATACACCATCGAGTATCATATTTATCGTTATCAGAGAATATAGGTCAGGATGTTATGAGAGGAGGAGTAGAGAATGTTACAAGCGTTCAACAGAAGCGGCAGGTAACCGCTTACCTTGTACGCATACGCGTATTTGATAGCTTAGTTTTCACACAAGTCAAGTAAAGATAACTACACATCAGATATTTAGACTTGAGACTCATAGCAGATTTCTGCTTGAATCAACTTGGAAAATATCTCCACTGGTAGAGTGGAGATGTTTTCCAAGGTGATGAATTATAAGTATATACCATGCATACTTTTTTTTTGATCGTGTGGAAAATCTCTTCGGATCTCCTGCTCCTTGGGGACTCAGAAACCAGGAGTATGTGGTGATTCCACTAAAAACCACCCCGACGGCCGGCCTTAGGTGTCCTACTCTGGGGAGTACCCGGACCATGTTATTTCAGGTCCTCCCCAAATTGACATCATGCCTAATCAAGCCCTATCCCAGGGGAGAACACTTCCCCCTTCAATCTCTTCTCTCTCTCCTCCCTCTTCTCTTTCTGGAGCATTACAGCTTCATAGAAATAGTCTACTGCGCCCCAGCCCTCCTCACCCGCCAGCATGGCAGCAATGATTGTTGGCTGGGACAGGTCTCGACCGATTTGGTCGACCAGGACCTCGCGTTCAGATGCCCACGCGGGGCAGTCTTCCAGCGTATGCTGGGCGGAGTCCCAGTCGGCTGCGCAGTACTGGCATTGTGCCGTCTCCTCGCGTCCAATCCGATTCAGGTACTCCCCGAAGCAACCATGCCCAGTGAGTACCTGCGTCAGTCGGTAGGTGACGCGACCTCCCTCTCTAACTACCCAAGCTTCAAGGATAAGCAGAACGCTCCTCCAGCTGCTCCAGTC